CTGCTAAAAGCTTAAAGTGTAATGTCATCCTCTTACTTGGCACTTACCTTACTCTACTATTATTTTACCTGTCAATTGCAATTTTAAACAGCACAGCATGATTTGGTTAAGAAAAATATAAAACACAAAAGGTAACAATGGAAAACAAATATGGCAAGGGACCAGTCCACAAGAAATTAGGGCACCATAAACCCTGTGGGCAGATTAGAGAAACACTATTAAGAGACAGGTATAAAGTGATACTACGTGATATGACCAGTTCTTCACATGTAGCCAGCACACACATCCGATAAATGACAATACATGATAGCCATGGGGCTTTCCCATAGATTATACATGCAGACACAGGTGTCAATCTAATGTTACCGATCACAATTTGCCACAGTAAATGCAAAACAGTGCAAAGCAACATAAGCACAATGTATGCATGCATTTTTGTGCATGCAAAAATGTTGTTTTGTTTATTACGTAATATGTTTAGTTCAAATCCATTTGAATTATAGAATCTATTCCTTCTGCTAATGTAACACCAACTCTTGAACTGAAAAACAAGCCTCCTGCACTTTTAACACCAACAAACTGTAGCTGACTCACTGAATGAGTGCGAGTAAAACAGTGCCAGATAAACTCACAGCTGTCGTAGGGAACAGCAGATTTCGCAGTAAGAGCTGCAATGTGAAAAACACCATGCTGAAACTCCCTCTTGTATTTGATAGGTTACACACATCTGTCCCTTCTTTCCCCCTTACAGTAAACATATCACTTCACAACCTCCGTTCTTATTGTCATTTTTACAATAAATCATTTTCTGCTTGTCTCACCAACATTATCTGTACTTAAAGGCTTTGAACAGAAAAATGGGACTCATTATGAAACGTGAGAAGTCAAATAAGCTGTTAAAATGAAAGTTCAAATATAGTTCTTTTCCTGGTCTCTTTTGTACTGTACAGTGTTTTCACAACAGGGGTATCCGAGATAATATGAGCTGAAAATATGAAATTGTGCGAGCAGAGAGCTTAAGCCCCTTTTGCCACACACACGCACACACACTCAAATGCACAAACACCCCTGTGAGTCCCCCATAAACATGCTATGGGCCCCTGTAAGGGGGCTGGAAGAGGAGCACGGCTATTTATTGGTTGTGAAAAGTGAGACTGTTCCAAGCACTATCGAGCCCAGAGCACAGAGAGCCTGTGATGATGTGTTACAACCAGTTACATCAGTCATAGTTTGCCACTGGACACTGAGGCCAGCAGGAGCGGAATATGACAATATTTGACAATAATATTTTGATGAAAAGAGCAGTTGAAGTAGTAGCAAAAGTAGCTGCTGCACTTCACACAGAAACAGATTTTCTTCAAACACAGAGAAATTTATAAATTAAAAATCTAAATGAAACCAATGAATGAACACTAATAATAAATAAAAATGAATCCTCGAAACCTGCAAGGATTTGAAAAGCTGGACAGTACAAGTGAACAGTAGTTGGAACCTACAGCTCAACTATAAAACTGTGATATATATGTACACTAAGTACAATATTTATACTTTGTTAAAAATGTAATGCACTTTATAAAGTGTATCTTCCAGAGAAAACAAAATACTCCATTGCTTTCAGTTGCCCATGTGATGTTGCCATGACACAATGAGAGCATTTCGTGTTTTGTGCAAATAATGGCAAAAACAGGAAAAAAAACATGCTGCCATTCATTTTGAAAACAGCTAAACAATTAAGTAATTCTTTTATGTCTAATGTTTTAAAGATTGACAAAGTAGCTCCACACTATACTCTTGGAAGCAGTGACGTCAAATGACGCGTCTCGCTGAAGTCAGGGTTGATCGATCTGCCCCGAGTTCACAGGTCGGATATCCGACTTCAAACAGCGTTCTAGACGTAATTTTCAAGTAGGGGGTGGGAAAAATCCGAATTTCGAGTTAGCAATACTCCCGAACTTTAGCATGACGCAATCGGTCACAAGACACACAAAAGCCAATGGCATTTCACAGCCAAAGCTGATGTAACGCTTCTTCTGGCTGCAATTTTTGAATTTGTGAACAGACTGCACACAGCAGGACCTGATTCTGAGCTTTATGGCGGATGGAGACGGTGATCGCGTCTGTTCAACTCACAAAACAATCATTTTGCCTCGGAAGACTTGGAATATTAATACTTTTTGAATAAATTGTGACTGTAGTTGTATCTGCCTTTTATATCCTGTGTTTTATATTGATAAATGGTTAGGTTTAGGGGTAGGGTTTGGGTAACGTGCTCAAAAATGTGTAAATAATGTAAATAAAATTGTAACCGTTTAAACTGAAAATCACATCCCAACATATATGTAATAGTGGCAAAGTTATTACCCAATATATAATTTAATCACAACAATAAAATTCTCATGCCCTTTGCATCTGCATATTGATGCAGAAGGTTTCTTATGAGCAACCCTGAAAATGTTCATAATACTTGTTCACAACTAGACCATAGCTGCCACTGGAGTAATTCTACTGTATTTCTTGTGGGTACCCTCCACAAAATAATTTAAAACACTCCAAATTCACACAAAATGTGGTCTGCTGGCCAGGAAATGCACATTAGTGGTTTGCTCCCATTAAAGCTGTTACGAGAGGCTTTCTTCATTCTCAGGGGGCTGGGTGACAATGTCAGAATTGTGTGGGTGTGATATAGCATTACTGGTGGGGTGAGGTTGAATAATTGAGAGAAATCACTCTCAGGGCTACAAGTGCTTTGCATAGATGTGAACACAAATGTATGCACACATGCAGGTATTTTCTGACCCACGCAGTGCTAACCACACTAACTCAAGAATGAGGGCAATTCATTGTCCAAAATTTTGGTGACTACTAGAGAAAGACCTGCACGAAAACTCTGTCATTGCTTAGGTCAAATCCATGACAAGTATCTTAACCTATCTTAGATGATGTAATTTATAATTAAGTTTTTTTTTAAATATAATCTTCATCTGCATGTGAGGGCCATGCAGCAAATTCCAAACTTGATTTGCACAGTTCTGAAAATCAACTTAATTCAAGAGGACAAAGGGAGCATTTAGAGGAGCCAGATAATTGCAGAGCCGTTGAGGTGCACACACTCAGTAACTGAAGCTATGCACATCAACAATGCACTAAAGCCTTTGTTTGCGGCTCTGGATTCTCAGAATTCACAGAGGAAGAGAGTTATGACGGAGTATGACAGGTCGTCACCTAAGAAATAGCCCTTGACCTTATGTGGCACAGTCAAAATGATACAGACACAAACGAAATAGCTGCAAAAATATTAGTAGTAGTAGTAATTTAAATGAAGGAAAATTACTCTGTGCACCTTTAAAATTTAAGATCAAAATCTCTTTTAATCTCAGTATGGAATATCACTTTACTCTAGAAGAATCAATAAATCACATGCATGCCTGGAAAGGGAATAAGTATTGGTGAAAGACAGCATGTGGAAATGACCACAGAGCAATGTGTTTAATTGCATGAGTGGAGCATGTTTTCCACAGGAATCTGGTAATCACCTCAAAAAAACACACTAAGCTTTTCCTTAACAACAGATTTCCCAAACTCTCCATTTCCTAGCATGTGAGAAGCTACATAAAAAGTGTACACCCTCTGTAATGAGAGCTGATAGAGTATGCAAAGGAGCTGAGATGAAGGGAATATGAATAAAACAATATCAAAGGTCCTGTCATTCAGTTATGATCTATGGCTGTTCATAGATGCAGGTCTGAGAAAGTGCTGTGACACTGAATGTGAAATGTGGAGATTTCTTTCTGTTTCAGAAGCATGGGTTCCCAAAATGACAAAGTTTGCTCAGTAAAGTGTCAGACATTTTAGAAAAATGTTTTCATTTTCTATTTCTATAAACATTTTGATCTAATGACTTAACATGGTGTAAGCAGCCAGCAAAAAGTACTAAAACACTTTCCTTGCACCTTGAAGCACCTAATCATTATCTGCAAAAAAAATAAATAAATGAAAATAAATAAATAAAAGCAAAAATGAATATGCATGTTTATATTATATATTCATATATACAACATTTTAACAAATATCATGATCTTCTGAGCTACAAATATCAAGAGGTTTTCTAGGATTACCCCATTTGACTTGAACAAAAATGTTTTCATAAAGACTTAAATATGAGATGATAGATAGATAGATAGATAGATGACCTTGACACAAAGTCATGAGGGTCTAAAGGGGTCTATCATCTAATTTGTTTCTTGTCACACATGATCACATAACACTGACTCAAATATTAATAATATTTTGAAGTAAAATTGATTAGTAGCTACCAAGAGTGATCTAATCTACTTGCACCAACAGATACTTATAGCAAGATTGCCAACAATAATTTAGCTCTACAGTTACTCCATCTAGACATTTTTGACATTTAAGCTATAGAAAAAAAACATAAAAATGATTTTAAGAATTGAAAACATTGTAATAGAAGATGTTTAATTAAATAATTGTAATGTATTTTAAATAATAAACAAAAAACCGCTCATGACTGATCTACAAACGATCTACAAAAAAGTCTTGTTTGTTAATTCAATTAAATTATTTTTATACTTTTTAATTGTTATGTTAATTTAGAATTCTGATTTATATAGTTGTCTCTGTTTTAAAATAAAAATAGTTATTTATACAGAAAAGCATTGCTCACGGAACCATCTGATGCGGAACCGCTGGCCCGTGCTGAACAGACCCCGCTCAGCCGAACTCTCTGCCAGAACCGACCCGGACCACACAACAAGCTGCTCCACATTTCATCACAACACCTTCCACAAACTTTCGAATACAATTTCCTTCGAACCAAGAATCTTAATATTTTAAAGTTGCTTTAACTACTACATACTCCATATAGTTTACTATATACTGCATACTATAATCCCTGCTGTAAACATTTTTGGCAAGCCGAAACAAACCGCAAACAAACAAAAGAAAGCAAAAGTGGGGTACTGCCACACACTTGTACTCACTTTTTGGGTAAAGCATCCAGTCACCCACAGAAGGCAGACTGTCATGTACACCCCCGCCCTGGTCGGTCCGCGAAGCCCCATTTTTGTCACTTCAGCTCGGCCAGAGACGCACGCAGGACTCGTCCTGTGCCTCGCTCCATTCACCTGAGGGAGCGCGGGGGCGCGCCTTCATAAAGCGTGGACACGCACGCAGCAACAGCGGAGGTCTGGCGGTGCGCGTTCACGACTACTGCACAGATCAAATAGACATTAGAGGGGAGAGTGAGAGAAAGGGAACACTTAATACCATTGCACAATGCTTTAGGGAGTGGAATTACCTTTAATCTACGTCCTAAAATGGAAGAGAATTTGTTTTCATTTAGGCTAGCCTACTTTATTTCTGTGCGCCAACTCGGACAGAATGATGTTTTCCCCTGATTCCTCTCTGATATGAAACTGTCTGTGGAGCCAATTGCCCTTTTTTAAATAATAATAATAACATAAAAATAATAATAATTGTTCATTGCGCAAATCTTAATTTTTGTTCTGCACAATTGAGATTGGTTTGAGATGGTTTAATCCATCTGTCTCTTATTTCAAAACAGAAGATAAATAACAAAGATAAGACCGAAATGAATGTTCATGTCATATTTATTCAGTTTTCCCCTTTGATGAACAAAAATAATAGATGTACCTTGATATGAAACTATAATGTCTTCATTTCATCTGAACGAAATACTTCACCACAGAAAAAAGTCCCGTAGTTCTTCTTCTTTTGTTTTATAGGCCTACACGTGTTTCATTTAAACACAAGGTGACGCTGTGCCAGACAGCGGCAGCGAAGGACAGAGAACAGTGAAGCATTCACAGAAATAAAGTCTAGCAAACTGTAAATGACCACATTAATTATTTACAAGTTCAAGGAGCTGTTTTACTGGGAAAAGTATGATAATGACCCTTTTTACATGCACCAAAAATCATGTTTGTACTCTGTCAAGTGCTTGAGTGTCTGTGGTCTGTTAGACCCCTAAGGCAGATCTGTGAGGAAATCAATATGAATTCCTTGTAAAGTCATCTGATGAGCAGCAGAGAACTCCACGTGCGGTGCATTTCCAGTCAGCAAGACATCTGTAAGATCACCCTGTCAAAGATGCTGACAGCATAAATCAACACTTCACTACAAAATGATCCTTATAACATTATTAGGTCTTTAATCATGAAACAGGCCGCAGTGTGAAGTTCTTCTGTTAACAGGATTTGCCACTTTCACCTGTGCTGTCTATTTAATTTCTTGAGAAAAAAATTATTACATCTAAAACAGATTTCTTTTCAGCTTTTCAGTTAATTAGGCTACATATTTGCCTGTCACTTTATTTATTTTTTAATCAGCATGTCTTGCACTATACCAGTGACAATTTCAAAGATGTGTAGCTCTTTCATACTCCCTCTCCAAAAAAACAAACAAACAAACAAAAAAGTTTTTCAATTTTTCTCAATTCAAATGTAATAGTTACCAAGCAATATGTATTTGCCCTTGTTGTAAAATCAGAAAAGACTATGTGCAACTACTTTTGAATGTGAGAAGGGAAGGCGAGGCTTTAAACTTCCTTAAACAAATTAAATAATATGAAAAGTACATATGAAAAAATTTACTTTTATATACACTACTGTTCAAAAGTTTGTGGCTGGTAAGATTTTTAAATGGTTTTGAAAGAAGTCTCTTATTCTCACGAAGCCTTCGCTTATTTGATCAAAAATACAGTAAAAAAAAACTTGAACAGCAGTTTATAAAAACTATGTGTCATATGTCTTTCAAATGGATCCAGCATTCAAAAAACAAGCATCTTCACTTCAACTTTCTTGAACAAAGTTTCCTAAAATGTTCTACAATAACATCTTAATCTTTCAACATTCATTCACTGAGAAAAAAAAAAATGTTAACAGAAAATACTACTTTCAACTAATCCAAATGGCAATTCACACTAATTAATTTGTACAAATCAATTATAAAAAATGCAAAAAAGAAACAGAAAATGAAAAATTCCACTCAAATATCCATTTAAATATCTGTATAAAACGTGAAATATACCAAAACTTTTAAAAGTTGAAAAAAAAAAAAAAAAAAAAAAAGACGTTATAAAACAAAATAAATGAAAATATTTTGGATGTTTGGGATGCAGCCATGAATTACCATAATGTTTTTTAATCTATTACAAATAAACAGAAATGGTCAAGCAATAAAACAACTTGGAGTTTGCAAAGATCATGACTGTAAAACATGGTAAAATATGGCTTTAACATGTGGCCAGTACTGCTAATACACAGTGGTCTGTTTCTGTTTATATATTCATTTTTTTTTTTTTTTTACATTTTATTTATACACATGTATGTTTATTTCTATGGCAGTTTATAGTTTTACATTACAAAAAGTGTAAATGACCACCATATTTGAAAAATAAAACTTCTGCGTTGGTTTTTAAAGTACACAAGTGCTATTATGGTTTGTTTTGGAACCTGATAGCTTAACAGAGAAATGCATTTGAGATGAAACCCTGATTATTAGATCAGCATAATGACAAAAACATAGTAGTTATGGAGTTACTGGCATGTACATATACACTCACATTCAAGTGTGTGGAAGATCAGCATACTGAGCACATTTGCATTCAATATGCGACCTTTGAGCTTTTATATACAAACAAATGAACTGACACTCTACATTTTCAGCCCTTACTGTATATATATTTTACATTTTCATTTGATGCAATTAAACCAGAATTTTCTGTGGTGTGGGATTTATATCCTGATGGCTGACACTTTAAAAACATACAACGCTTCTTTGACGAAGCACTCCTGTTATATTTTACACTGGGTCAACAGAACTGCACCAGATAATGTATGTCTCCTGATCAATCGGTTTGACTATTATTTAAAAAAAACTGTGAAAAGAAAGAGAAACTTAATCGTCTTGAGCACAAGTGGAGGTGGTGTTGCCATGGCAGTGCTTTTCCTCACAGGCAGTGGCTCTTCAAGCTGTCCGTCAAACGGAAATCTCATATGTAGTTCCACCCACTCCTGTGACCTTTTTGACATTGGTGTGTCTGCTGGGAGTTCCAGAAGGAGTCCCAAGATGGCAGTCACGTGCTTGGCCCTTTAGTTGCCCATTGACTTTACCTTGACCGAGGTCCTCTCTATGTGGAGAAAATATAAAAAAAACAGGAAGACATATTTGAGGTGGTTCTTTTCTTTTCCTTTTCTGCCCTTCTTTTGAAATGTAGAGATCCAAACATGTACTAAATAGACTGAAACGTTACAAATGAAGATGAGTTCATGAAGAAGAGGACAGTATTAAAGAATGGTGGAAGGGATTATATAATTGAGATTATAATACAGGACTCAAAAAATAAGGAGTCAGTTTAGGGCCAGTTGACAAAACAGCCATTTGCCCACAAATTAAGCCTTGCAAACATTTTTTCAATAATTTATGATATTTCTTTTTTTTGTATAATATTTTTATTTGCTTTTTGTTATGTTATGCTTTCTTATTTATTTATTGCTTTTTGTTATCGTTATGCTTCCTTTACCTAAAAAACAAAGTTGTCAAGAAAAAAATAAAATCAAAATATTTTATTAAAAATAAAAAAATCTAAAGATTGTTGTATATATATATATATATATGTGTGTGTGTGTGTGCTATAAATATAAATGGATCATTCTTTTTTGATGGGATCTATAAAAATCTATTAAAAAATCCTTTCTGTTGAGCCCTGTAATAAAATCATAATTTTAAAGAGGAAACAATCATGCAGTCTGATGTTGCAAAATGATCAAGTCAAAGAAAAGAGCAAAGAAAAATACAGTATGTAAAATGATAGTGATTAAAAAGCATTTTTAAGCATAAAAAAACAACACAAACAGAACAAAAAGACACAAATGGATATCAAATCATGATTATTGTATATTTCATTGATCTCTGATGCCATTTATGAGATCACCATGGTGCAATAAAATGTAGAGTATGCCAGAAGTAGATGCCATGCAAAATGTGTCACAAATAAGCTCATGAATATGGATGAACAGGCATGCAGAAATTGAAACTGAAAAATGAAAATGGGGGGAAAAGCAAATAATGCCATTTATTTGGCTAACAGATATATAACCACAACATTTTTGTTTTCATCTCTGCAGAAAGGCAAAAAACCCCCCAAAAAACACGTATGCATTCTAAATAACAATAATGACAAAAATTTAAGTACAAAAAAGCAGTACTCAAAAAAGAAACAAATAAACATAACACAACTGAAATCTCTTTTCTGAAGTCTCTTGACCCCGCCGGATCAGAGCGTACATATCAAGACTGTTTAGTCTATACATCACGTCCTCACCCTCTTTTCTGGTTGGTTAAAAGAAGATGCTACGTGTTATACCTTGTACCCAGATGTGGTGAGTCTGCCCTCTCCAGAGCGCCAATGAAGGCGACCTTCTGATGCGCATATGATGGGGAACGGGGCACAGATGTTGGGGAGTGATTCGTTTGGTGCACCGGAGAGCGGTATTGGTGTTCGGCTGTCCTGCTCGCACCGCCTCCATCAGTGTGGAGGGATGTAGTGGAAATCCTCGGCACTCTGGTGAGCGAAGATGCAGAGGAACGCAGAACAGGTGTTCGGGGAGCGTATCCCACTACCCCGACTCCCATCAAGTTATCCCGAGAGCGGCACACAGGAGGGGTGGGCTCTCGGGATCCGGGGCCTCTAGGGCTGTCGGGGTAGCACGTCCCAGGTGGGAGTCCATAGGTGGCTCCACTGTAGGTGTCAAACACACCCGAATCGTTGGCATAGGCCACCGGTGCTTGCACGTGCCGATGCACGAGTTTCTCCCTCTCCTCAAGCTCCTTCCTCTCCTGAATGGAGGCCATGATGGTTTTGGAGAGGTTGTCGTAGCGGACGGGCGAGGGATCTCGGTCTCTTGAGAGTGGCGATTGACGCCCGTACATCGCTCCTACGTGAACAGGACTATAGGATGGCGTGCCGGCGTGCCATTGAAGCTCGGGCCCTCGTACATGACACATTTTAGTGGGCAAGTAAGGTGAATGAAAACCCATAGAGGGCACTCCCGGGTGGGCAGCGCACTCGCCCACAGATGACGTAATGCTGGGGGTTAGCAAGCTATCATAGGATAGGCTGCCATTGCGGCCAGATAATGTCCCAGGGGAGAAGACTCCATTGTGAGGGGTGGAAGTGACCGTTTGTGGTTTGCTGCCACCCAGTGGCATCTGGTCAGCCCTGTTCACTCCCTGTTTGAGACTGAATGAGCGAGAAGTGGTGCTGAATGAGTCCAGCTGGAAAGGTGAGGACTGGTAAGTTCGGTGGAGAGGAGTGCTGCGGAAGTCCGGCATATCCAGATTCGGCTCAGAGCGGTAATCGTGACCTCTCTCCTCTAAAACTGCAGAGGGCTTACCGTTCTCAGACATTACAATCTGAAAACAAAGGACAATATTAGAGAGAAAAAAACAACAACACATTTTTAAATAATCAATCAGAATTCAAAAATATTATATTATATTTTTGTTCAAAAGTCTGATGTGAGTAACTTTTTAAGAAAGTTCTTAGAAACTTTTATTCAGAAAGGATGCATTAAATTGATTAAATGCATGCAATATGCAAACATGCAATATTAGAGAGAGAAAATTTTTTTTTTTTAAATAATCAATCAGCATTTAAAAATATTATTATATTATTTTAAATTTTTTCAAAAGTCTGGTGTGAGTAACTTTTTAAGAAATTAATTCTTTAAGCTTTTATTCAGAAAGGATGCATTAAATTGATTAAATGCATGACAATCAAGACATTGTTACAAAAGATTTCTATTTCAAATAAATGCTGTTCTTTTGAACTTTTTTATTCATCAAAGAATCCTGAAAAGAAAAATATGAATGTTTTCACCAAAAATATTAGAACTATTTTCCACAAAAATAGCAAAAAAAAAAAAAAAAGTTTCTTGAGGACCAAATCAGCATATTAGAAAGATTTCTGAAGGATCATGTGACACTAAAGACTGTAATGAGTAATGAATGCTGAAAATTGCATCACAGAAATAAATTTCATTGTAAAATATATAATAGTTGTTATTTAACAATATTGCTGTTTTTACTGTATTTTTTATCAGATAAATGCAGAACTTCTTTAAAAAAAAAAACAAATCTTACAGACTCCAAACTTTTGAACAGTAGTGTATATTATAATATATATTATTCCAGAAAACATTGTTTTAGTCTGTTGTTCCCACCTTCTCTCCGGTTGCGTGATAGTGCACTTTAGGCATGGTGCTGAAGGAAGGTCGGTATTTGTACATGGCTGGGGTGGATGGATTAGTGGGTTTGCCGGACAGGGAACTCTCTAGAAAATGTGGCACAAATGAAATGAATGACTCAACAGTGCTGCAATATGATCCAACACCAGATGGCAGTAGAAGTGCAGTTAAGAAAAAGATTCAACAACCTGCTACAGGGCCCACTGAATACACATGCCTTGAGTAATTAGGCGAATAAAAAATTTTTTTTATGATCACATGCTAATAATAATAATAATAATAATAAGAAATCTCACAAGACAAATACGCGTTTGAATACACAGAGTAAATAATTACAAAAACATAAATTAGTTACATTTTGGTGCTGACTGCTTTGAAATAACCTGCAGTAAACAATGACTGGCTGTTAGTGTTACTTGCCTTCGCTGGAGGTGAGTTGACTCTTGAGCTGGTTGTAGCGATCCACTTTGGGCGGCAGAGGTGGTTGTGTATCTATACTTTTATCATCCACACCATCCAGACTGGTCTTAGAATAAAGCATAAGAAAATCTATTTATTTTGGGAGGCTTGATTTAGGCGCCATATTATTAAAATGGTTCCTTTGAAAATGAGGACACCATTTATTTGAATAATTTCAGTTTTCATTGAAATCTAAATAATGAGCCTGCACTGATGCGATTCTGAATTGCTGGTGTAGCGGTACTTACTACAATAACAGAAATTATTATACACCATTGAAATTCCAGGTTGTGGGCAGACAGAATTAAAAGCTTTTGCGGACTCACTTTGCTTCGTAGGATGTTACTGTGGATACCATTATCACTGACGTGTCGGTTAGAGAGGTCAGGGCGGATGAATGGTGGGTTCATGGTGATGGGAATTTTCTTCCTGGGATCAGCGATGTACCTGTAGACAGAAACAGTGAACAAGATGCATGTATTAAATATTTTTAGATAAAGCATGTAAGTTCATGGGTCAGACTTAGTGTATACCACAATAACATGTAGGTTATCGAATGCTTAAAAATGGTTGAAAAAAGTTGATCATATACCCAGGTTCATGATGACTTACTTTCTGCTGTGGAACATAAAAGGGGAAATTCTGAAGATTCTGATTCCATTTCAAAGTTTGGGGTGAGTATTATTATTATTATTATATTTATTTGTCTGTTTATTTTTTTTAAAGAAAGTAATACATTTATTCAGCAAGAATGCATTGAATTGATCAAAAGTGAAAGACATTTTATATTGTTGCTAAAAACTGCTATTTAACGAAATGCTGATATTTTGAACTTTTTATTCAGCAAAGAATCCTGAAAAAAAATATGCTGTCATGTTTTTCACAAAGATATTAAGCAGCACAGTCGTTTTCATCATTAACAATTATAAGAGATGTTTCCTGAGCACCAAATCAACATATTAGAATGATTATCGATTGAAATTTTCATTTTTGGGTAAACTATTCCTATAATTTCTGATTCAAGGAATGATTTAATTTGTTTTGTGGAAAAAGGTTTATAGCAACATCCTTTTGTTATGTTTTGGGCTCACAAAGGTTGTCCTCTATTGTTTCTGAAGATGGCTTAACAAGACATTAACCTTGGCTCTGATCTGTGTTTATACAGCAATCACTTTCTCTCTCCATTGTTTCACAACCTGATTCAAATCTTCAGTACTATACGCTTTTCCTGCTCAGAGTGTCATAAAACAGGCAAGAAAAACAGGACACAATCTACCTTCCTATGGACCTCTATTCTTTTCAAACCCCTCCAGACTGTCTACTATGATAAACAACCTCTTTCACCTCTGTCTACTCTTTATAAGTATTACATTAAATGTTAATGGCTTCACACATATTTCAAAGCATATTTTCTTCTTGAAGCATTTTAGATTTTATAGTATACTGCCACACTGTCTTCATTACTGTTGTCGAGAGCACTGCATAAAATGTTTTTATATGCCATGGTGTCATTTTCTATTTGACTATATGTTGGTTTGACTATATGTTGGTATCTGTGATAATCGCCTTCAGTCATAAAAAAGATGGCATTAAATAAATGTTAAAAATATACGGTTTTATGTTGTTTCTACATTAATTTGAAGATTGAATGTGAAATTGCAATATAAAAGTATAATTAAAAACTTTAATGTTAGGTGGGATTAATCGTGATAAATTTTTGGGGGAAAAAAAGTGTGATTAATTAGTTAATTTTTTGAATCGATGCAATATAAAAGTATAATTAAAAACTTTAATGTTAGGTGGGATTAATCGTGATAAATTTTGGGAAAAAAAAAAGTGTGATTAATTAGTTAATTTTTTGAATCGATTGACAGCACCAATACTTTTATTTGGCAAGAACGCATTACATTTATCAAAAGACACAAAAAAACATTTATAATGTTAAAAAAAATCAATTTCAAATAAATTATGTGCTTTTGAACAACTTTCTATTCATCGAAAATCCTAGGGGAAAAAATATATCACAATTTCCACAAAAATATTAAGCAGCACAACTGTTTTCAACATTTATAATAATAAGAATTTTTGTTGGGCAGCAAATCAGTTTATCACAATGATTTCTGAAGAATCATGCAACACTGAAGACTGCAGTAATGGCTGCTGAACATTCACTGTTGCCATCAGAGGAATAAATTGCATTTTAAAATATATTAAAGTAGAAAACAGTTATTGTGAATTATAATATTATTGCTGTTTTTACTGTGTTGTTGGTAAAAAAAAAAAAAGCAGCCTTGATGAGCATAGGAGACTTCTTTCAAAAACATTAAAACATCTTTCTGACCCCACATTTTTGAACAGTAATGTACTTCCAAGATAAACAACTTACTGAAGAAGAAAAAGTGACTTGATTTTATCCATTGGTGGTTGATTGGATAGTGAAAAATGAGTACTGCGTAACTAAATGGAAGCAGCCAGCTGTCAGGGGCCGTGGAAACACACCGTGCCTGGTGTTACGACTCACTTTCACACATTTCTGGTACGGCTGTGTATTTGAGACTCTCACTGATTACAGAAATGAATATATCTGTGTGTGGAAGTCAGTTTTTTCTTTACCTAGGAGCAAGCGGACTGCATAAGACGTGTTTCACGTTGCCACAGCAATCCCGAGTGAATGGATTCACTCCTCCTCGGAACTTTCCTGTCACCTGAGAACAGAGAGAGAGAGAGGGGAATC